TGGTTGCAGGAAGAGGCCCCCAAGCTGTGTGGCAGAAAAAGAAAAACCCCTGTGGCTTGGCTTAGAAGGGGCTGGGACAAATTTCACAAAGAATAAAGAAATCTGCAGAAATCCGTCCCATCTCTCAGGAATGGGGACATCCGATGGAAATTCTGTATGGGGGCAATACGGGGTCACGCGCCAGGCAGGGCTGAGCTAACGCAGCAGTGCTGGAGAGAGCTCCGAAGGGGGAGCTAGACTCCATTCCCCTGCCTGTGAGCATGCTGGACATTGCGGTAACATGGGGGTGCTATGGGGAAGTATTTCAGAGCTCTTTCCCTGTCCCAGAGGAGAAGCAGCATCTGCCCTAACAGATCCCACTGCTGTGCTTCCCCAGGGGTGAGGCATCGCTCAGGCCACCCGTGGGTGACACAGAATAGGCAGCAGTCCAGCCTGTTCAGCACTACGTTGTCTCACGCTCACCACCCCACTGAGCTATAGCTCTGGAGTTGGCGGGTGCAGAGTCTTTATGCTCTCTGTTATCCGGAGTTGTTATCCGCCTGGCGCTGTGTGCGTGACCACGCTGGGAGCTTCCCAGCTCTGGCTGTAAAATTGCCAGGTGCCTGTGCCCTGAGCCAGAGCCGAGACTGCAGAGAATTCCTCTAAACATTAACCAGGCATGTGGTGTGAGCAGGCCTTGCCTGGTGGAATGCAAGCACCTCTCTGCTCTTATCAGGGCGCAGCAGCCCATGCCCTACACACCCCCTCTGCCACCGCTCCACATTCCTGCCTGCGTGTTAAACGCGCCACCTTCCCCAGCGGGAACGTCACCAGCCTGCCTTCTGGGCCTGCTGAGCTAAGCTGCCCCCCAGCCCCACAGGGCCGGTGCTGGAACAGCCCTATGGGCCCCGTGCACACGTGCACCGCCCGTTCCTTGGCACAGCTGTGGGCTCTCCACAGTGCCGCATTTCCTCTCTGCTCCCCCTTCCTGTGTGCACAGATTCGCCTTAGGGAAGGTGAGGTCTCCTCGGTTGGGCCTGTAGAGATGCACACGTTCTCTGGTGATGGGGCCAGAGCAGCACCCAGTTCTCCCACCAGGCCTCCTGACCCACAATCTACCCTGGGGCTGATGAGGGGAGCCAGTCTGGACAAGATAGTGACTACCCCACCCTGGAGAGGGACTGGATGGCCTGGCAGGGTTTGTCCCCTTGCTGGGATTGTCCCCTTGCAGGGCTGGGCCAGGGCCCTGGAGGGCAGCAGGAAGCCGACTGGGTGCCCACAGGAGGAGAGGGCACCAGGGAAGGGGAACAGCTCATGAGAGGTGGGCTCACCACATCCTGATAACGATGCCAAGTGTGACTGCACTGTACTGACAACCCCACTGGGCCACTGCTGACAGCGTCGCGTGACACAGCAGGCTCCGGGACAGAGGCTGGCAGGCGAGTGGGGGCTGTGGCCGCAGGGATCAATCTGGGGAAGGCGGAGGGGTTAGCATGGACACCGCCGACACACAGGCTGGTGAGAGGGAGGGGTGGGGGCACCAAAGCACTCTGCCCCTCTGGCCAGGGAGGGAAGGAGAGCCGTCCAAAAAGGCCTGGCTCAGAATCCCAGCAGAGGCTCTGGCAGGAGCTGCTCAGTGCCAGCAAGCGTGTGCTGAGGCCTCTCCTGCAGCACAAGGTCAGTTCTCATTAAAACACACCGTCGATTCTTCGACAGCAAAGGCAGTGCAGCGTCCCTCCTTTGCCTCCACAGCTCCTTCCAGCTGCTCTGCAGAGCCGGGAGCACCGAGTTCTTCAGACCCTCCTCCCCGAGCCCTCACTGCTGGCTACCAGACCACAGCCTGCCAGGAGAGCCACGCAGGGTATGTTCACACTGCAGTAATACCCGTGGCTGGCCCACGGCCGCTGACAGGCTCACAGGGCTCAGGGTGCGGGGCTCTAAAACTGCAGCGTAGACATCTGGGCTCAGGCTCAGACCCCTCCCACTCAAGGGGTCCCAGAGTCCGAATGTCTACACAGCAAGTTTAGAGCCCTGCGAGCCTGGATCAGCTGACACGGGCCAGCCACGGGTGTTTTACTGCAGTGTAGACACACCCTCCCTGCCATGCAACACCCAGCAATACAGCTCCCACACACCCCATGCCTTGCTCCAACACCCGCATTCAACTGACACCAGGCTCCAGTGCCCACCGACGCCCTGGGCCCGGCTCCATCGCCCACCCTCAGTGACACCCCTCAACCAGCTCCAACACCTGCCCTCAGTGACACACTGTGCCCTGCTATAACGCCCAGCTGAATCACACCCCCCTACGGGTATATCTGAGTGTTATAGCAGGGCACACTACCATGTATCACACACACCTCACTGACACAGCAGGTGTTAAGAGCAGACCACAGCATATCACACTCCATCACTGATCGAGCAGAGAACGTTGTATCAGTGAGCGGGTGTGAGACAGCGGGTGTTAGAGCAGGGCGCGGTGTATCACACCCCGTCACTGATAAATACACCGCGCCCTGCTCTAACACCTATTGTATCACACCCCCTCACTGATACACCGCGCCCTGCTCTAACACCCGCTGTCTCAGTGAGGGGGTGTGATATAGCGGGTGTTAGAGCAGGGCATGGGGTGTCACACCCCCTCACTGATACCCCATGCCCTCCACTAACACCCGCTGTAGCTCTCCCGTCACCAACAGCCCGATCTCAGCAGAATCCCTCTTTATCATGCGCCGTGAGGTATCAGACCAGCAGTAACTAGTTTCAATCTGTGCTACAGTAACTCAGCTCCTCTCCTGGCTCCATCCCTCCTGCTGTCAGTGCAGGCTTCAGGCAGCCCTGCCTGTGCTCTGAGGCAGAAGGACGCTGCATTGACTTAGGAGCCATGTCCTAATGTGCAGCAGGCTCCAGTCCCAGGCAGTTTCTTCCTCCTGAACAGCTCTGTGCAGCCAGCCAGCCTGCCCCGGTGCCTCTCCCATCTGCAGCACTGCCTGTCCCAGCAATGGTGCTCCTTCTGCAAGATCACTGCATCTTGTCAGGCGGATGCAGAGGCAAGCGAGAGCCCCAGCCTGGAGCCAGGTGGCTGGGGCAGAATAAGAGGGAGAACCAACCCTCACCATCAGGCACACTGCACAGGGGCACCGAGGGGATGCCAGCTCCTTCAAGTCCCCAGCTGGGACTGGCCCTGTGCTTGGCAGCCGCAAGGGGCCCTGATTAGCTGGGAATTTGCTCCTGGTCTTTCAGACTCAGCAGCTCTCCCTGCCGGCAGTGCTGGGGGAGGGGGCGGCGAGCGAGTCAGAGTCCAGGGCTGAGTCCCTGGCTCCCAGGGACTGGGGCATACTCCAGGCCAGCCATGATGGAGCTTGTCATGCCCACTCCTCTGGTCCTACCACCTGGGTGCAGGGCTGGGGGGGCGCCAGTTCCAGTGGCAGGCGCACACCCAGCCGGGGAGAGGGTTCCCAAGCCACGCACCCAGCCGGGGAGAGGGTTCCCAAGCCACGCACCCAGCCGGGGACAGGGTTCCCATGCCACCCACCCAGCCGGGGAGAGGGTTCCCAAGCCACGCACCCAGCCGGGGACAGGGTTCCCAAGCCACGCACCCAGCCGGGGACAGGGTTCCCAAGCCACGCACCCAGCCGGGGACAGGGTTCCCATGCCACGCACCCAGCCGGGGACAGGGTTCCCATGCCACGCACCCAGCCGGGGACAGGGTTCCCATGCCACGCACCCAGCCGGGGACAGGGTTCCCAAGCCACGCACCCAGCCGGGGACAGGGTTCCCATGCCACGCACCCAGCCGGGGACAGGGTTCCCAAGCCACGCACCCAGCCGGGGACAGGGTTCCCATGCCACGCACCCAGCCGGGGAGAGGGTTCCCAAGCCACGCACCCAGCCGGGGAGAGGGTTCCCAAGCCACGCACCCAGCCGGGGAGAGGGTTCCCATGCCACGCACCCAGCCGGGGAGAGGGTTCCCAAGCCACGCACCCAGCCGGGGAGAGGGTTCCCAAGCCACGCACCCAGCCGAGGAGAGGGTTCCCAAGCCACGCACCCAGCCGAGGAGAGGGTTCCCAAGCCACGCACCCAGCCGGGGAGAGGGTTCCCATGCCACCCACCCAGCCGGAGGAGAGGGTTCCCATGCCACCCACCCAGCCGGCGAGAGGTTCCCGTGCACCCAGCCGGGGAGAGGGTTCCCATGCCACGCACCCAGCCGGGGAGAGGGTTCCCATGCCACGCACCCAGCCGGGGAGAGGGTTCCCAAGCCACCCACCCAGCCGGCGAGAGGTTCCCGTGCACCCAGCCGGGGAGAGGGTTCCCATGCCACGCACCCAGCCGGGGACAGGGTTCCCAAGCCACGCACCCAGCCGGGGACAGGGTTCCCATGCCACGCACCCAGCCGGGGACAGGGTTCCCAAGCCACGCACCCAGCCGGGGACAGGGTTCCCATGCCACGCACCCAGCCGGGGAGAGGGTTCCCAAGCCACCCACCCAGCCGGGGACAGGGTTCCCATGCCATGCACCCAGCCGGGGAGAGGGTTCCCAAGCCACCCACCCAGCCGGGGAGAGGGTTCCCAAGCCACCCACCCAGCCGGCGAGAGGTTCCCGTGCACCCAGCTGGGGAGAGGGTTCCCATGCCACCCACCCAGCCGGGGAGAGGGTTCCCATGCCACCCACCCAGCCGGCGAGAGGGTTCCCATGCCACCCACCCAGCCGGGGAGAGGTTCCCACGGCACGCTCCCAGCCGGGGGGAGCTGGGCCCCAGCTGGACTCTCGCTGGAAGGGTCTGGGCTGGGAGCCTCTCCCCTCCTCCGCCCAGCTCTCCCCGGCGCTGCAGTTGGGGTAAAGTTTAGCCAGGCAGCAAGCGCCGCGTTCAGCGGGGACCTGCCGCGGGGCTCCAGCAGCGCAGGGGTTAAGCGGCGGCTGTCACAGCCCCTCGGCGGGGGCCGGCGGGTCCCAGGGGCGCCGGCCGGTCCCGCGCCGGGTCCCGCTCCGGATCCCGCGCCGGTCCCGCCCGGCCCCACTCACCGTCTGCTGCAGGTCGGGGATCCCGATGCGCACCACGATGGCGCTGGCGGCGGCGTCCTCCATGCGGGCCGGCGGCGGCGGCTCGGCGCGGGGGGCCGGGGGCTCGATGCTGGCATAGGGGGTCTCGTCCCGGGCGCGGCCCGCGGGCTCCCCCGGCTCCCCGGCCACCGCGCGGGGCGGGCGCGCAGGCGGCGGCTGCTCCGGCGGCGGCTCCGGAGTCTCATGTTGGCCGGCGGCGGGCGGCAGCGGCATGGTCCGTGCGGGCGGGGGGCGGCGCGGGGGCGGCGGGGCCGCGGGACCTAGAGCCCGCACAGCGCAGCGCTGGCCGGGGGGGGAGAGAGAGAGTCACCGCCGGGCCGGGGTGCGGCCCCTGGGGATCCCCCCCGCCCCTGCGCCCCCCGGGGATCCCCCCGGCCCCTGGGGAGCCCCCCCGCCCCCCGGCACTGCGCCCCCCGGGGATCCCCCCGGCCCCTGGGGAGCCCCCACCGCCCCCCGGCACTGCGCCCCCCAGGGGATCCCCCCGGCCCCTGGGGAACCCCCCCGCCCCCCGGCAGTGCGCCCCCCGGGGATCCCCCCCCCCGCGCCCCCGGGGACCCCCCCCCCCCCTGGGGAGCCCCCCGGGGATCCCCCGGCCCCTGGGGATCCCCCCCGCCCCCCGGCACTGCGCCCCCCGGGGATCCCCCCGGCCCCTGGGGAGCCCCACCGCCCCCCGGCACTGCGCCCCCCGGGGATCCCCCCGGCCCCTGGGGAGCCCCCCCGCCCCCCGGCACTGCGCCCCCCGGGGATCCCCCCGGCCCCTGGGGAGCCCCACCGCCCCCCGGCACTGCGCCCCCCCGGGATCCCCCGGCCCCTGAGGAGCCCCCCGCCCCCCGGCACTGCGCCCCCGGGGATCCCCCGGCCCCTGGGGGATCCCCCCGCCCCCCGGCACTGCGCCCCCCCGGGGATCCCCCCGGCCCCTGGGGAGCCCCCCCGCCCCCGGCACTGCGCCCCCGGGGATCCCCCCGGCCCCTGGGGATCCCCACCGCCCCCCGGCACTGCGCCCCCCCGGGGATCCCCCCGGCCCCTGGGGAGCCCCCCGCCCCCCCCGGCACTGCGCCCCCCGGGGATCCCCCCGGCCCCTGGGGAGCCCCCCCGCCCCCCCGGCACTGCGCCCCCCCCGGGGATCCCCCCGGCCCCTGGGGAGCCCCCCGCCCCCCGGCACTGCACCGCCCCGGGGATCCCCCCGGCCCCTGGGGAGCCCCCCCGCCCCCCGGCACTGCGCCCCCGGGGATCCCCCGGCCCCTGGGGAGCCCCCCCGCCCCCGGCACTGCGCCCCCGGGGATCCCCCCGGCCCCTGGGGAGCCGCCCCGCCCCCGGCACTGCGCCCCCGGGGATCCCCCGGCCCCTGGGGAGCCCCCCCCCCCCGGCACTGCGCCCCCGGGATCCCCCGGCCCCTGGGGAGCCCCCCCCCGCCCCCCGGCACTGCGCCCCCCGGGGATCCCCCGGCCCCTGGGGAGCCCCCCCGCCCCCCCGGCACTGCGCCCCCCGGGGATCCCCTGGCCCCTGGGGAGCCCCCCCCCCCCCCGGCACTGCGCCCCCCGGGGATCCCCCCGGCCCCTGGGGAGCCCCACCGCGCCGGCACTGCACCCCCCTCTCAGGAACCCCACCCACCTGTCATTGCAACCACTGGAGATCCCCGCCCCCCTGGCACTAAACCCCCCCGGGGATCCCTGCCCCCCTGACACTAAACCCCCCTGGGGATCCCTGCCCCCTGGCACTGCACCCTCGGGGGGATCCCAATCCCCCAACACTGCACCCTCTGGGGATCCCCACCGTCCTGGCACTGCACCCCGCCCCCGTGGATCCCAATCCCCCAGCACTGTACCCTCTGGGGATCCCAGCCCGCCTGGCACTGCACCCCCCTCTGGGGATCCCCGCCCCCCTGGCACTGCACCCGCCCCAAGGGATTCCATCCCTGCCTGATACTGCACCCTCTGGGGAATCCCATCACTGCATGGGGAGAATCCCCATTCCCCCAGTACTGCCTGCCCAAGAATGCACCCCCTCTTGGGGGAACCCTAGCCCACCCCCGGCACTGCACCCCCTGGGATGTCCCAGCCCCCCCCGGCACTGCACCCCTTGGGGAAATCAAGGGGTGCCTCCCCACTCTGGGGCCAGCCCCTGTCCCTCAGTTCCCTGGGGCTCTGCCAGCAAGACCCATTAGCTCTCCTCTCTTAAGTTCATGAGGATGGCCAGCCTGGATCAAGCCAGGACCCACCTAGCCCAGCCTCTGGTCTCCAACAGGCTGGGAAGGGGCAGCAATGGGCTAGCTTGGTTCCTCCTGACCCCCAATAATCAGGCTGGCCCCTGGCCAGGGGCAGGGGCAGGGGTGGTTTACAGCCCTCCCCAAATGCTGGTCTATTTTAATATGTACTGTTAGTCAGGGTGCTCTTGTTACCCAAGTCAGTGTTTGAGCCTTGGTTGAATCCCACTAAATTGTTGGCCTCACTGATGTCCTGTGGCAGTGAGTTCCACAGGCTGGCTGTGCATTGTGTGAAAAAGCATTTCCTTATGTCAGTTTTGAATTTGCCCTTCATTGATGCGGCTCAGGGGAGTCCAGGCCTGAGCTGTTGTGGGGTGACAGGGCCCCTCATCTCCCTGCACTGGGGGAAAGTGAAACACTCTTTCTCCATTTGCCGGTACTCCGTCACATCCCTGCTCCTTTGCCTCCCCACAAAGGTCAGCAGGGCCGATCCTGTCGGCCTCTCCAGCCCCCCGATCATTCCTGCTGCCCCTCTTTGAAACCCTCTGATTCCTCACACCCCTTCCAGTGATGGAAGGAGTCAGCCGGCAAACAGTGTCAGGGAAGGGGGCCCATTCCTTCCATCCCTCTGCTTCCTCCTTTCCACCCCCCCTCCCTGCTGCAGCAAAGTCTCCTGGAGGGACCAGGCTGGGGATTTCCAGCTGCTGGGAGGCCAGAGGCCACAGTGAGAGGCACTATCAGCATGACCCATGGGTGTGGTCCAAGGGGCGCCAGCCCCACTCGATTTCCAAGGGAAATGAACTCCACGGCTGAATTTGGACCCTGGCATCTGTTAACCCTTTCAGTGCTTGAGTGTGACCAGCCACTAAGCAAAAGTGCTCCTTTCCTTTAAGCCAAAGCTGCTGTGTCTCCCGCAGTGAGGATAACAGTGACCCAGGAGCACTGCGCACGAGTCACCCTCCCACCACACCAGCCCCTGACTCCGCCCCCTCCCCCTGACCCCCACCCAGCCCCCGACTCCGCCCCCTCCCCCTGACCCCACCCAGCCCCAACTCCGCCCCCTCCCCCTGACCCCACCCAGCCCCGACTCCGCCCCCTCCCCCTGACCCCACCCAGCCCCGACTCCGCCCCCTCCCCCTGACCCCACCCAGCCCTTGACTCCGCCCCCTCCCCCTGACCCCACCCAGCCCCCAACTCCGCCCCCTCCCCCTGACCCCACCACACCAGCCCCTAACTCCGCCCCCTCCCCCTGACCCCACCACACCAGCCCCCGACTCCGCCCCTCCCCCTGACCCCACCCAGCCCCCCGACTCCGCCCCCCTCCCCCTGACCCCACCCAGCCCCCGACTCCGCCCCTCCCCCTAACCCCACCCAGCCCCCCGACTCCGCCCCCTCCCCCTGACCCCACCCAGTCCCCGACTCTGCCCCTTCCCCCTGACCCCAAACCTTTCTCGGTAGGGGGGGATTTGCCCCAGTTACAGCCACTGGTGAGGCTGTACCCATTGAGCCCCTAATGCGGACATGCAAAGTCACTCTGCACCCACGGCGCTTACCCTGGTGTCAAGCAGCTGCCAACCATGACTGCAGCTGGAGCAATCCCCAGTGCTGCCAAGGCCCAGCTGAGCATAGATCGAAGGACTCTGCCCCTTCAAGAGAAGCAGCTCCAGGGCCAAGCAGAGCTGGGCCTCAAGGTGTTAATCCACTTTGTGCTTTGGGGCTATTTCTGTTTGAAGAGTGTCAAAGAGCTGAGGAGATTTACGGGATGACCTGGATCTGTCCAGGAAATAATTAATGGCCCTGCCCCCAGGCAGCGAGCCCGGAGGCTGGGGGACTGCAGAGGGCTGGCATCAGTGAAAGCTTGACCCCAGATTTAGCCTGGCTCTCCCGGCTGGTTCAGGGTCTGCTGGGAAAGCTGAAGCTTGACCCCAGATTTAGCCTGGCTCTCCCGACTGCTGCAGGGTGTGACGAAGCAGGACTGTTCTTAATGTTTCCTTTGATTAGTGTGGGGGTGCCTCAGTTTCCCCTAGGCAGTTCTTAAGTATCTAAGTGGTGGGATAAGGGTGTATGATCATTGCAGAGCCCTGGAGGGCAGGGGTGTGCAGGGGTCTGGACACAGAGAATGGCCGACACCCTGTTTCCTGGCACCTGATGGCCTGGCCCTTCCCCTCTGCAAGGTGAGAGCTAAAGGGTTGGAGAACAAAGGAATCAGGTGACCTCCTGGCCGGGGAAAGGGACAAAGCCCAGAGGAGGAGGGGCTGGAGAGAGTTTCAGTTTGGGGCTGGCTGGGGACATGGAGTGAAGGGCAGACGTGGTTGTCTGGCTCACTGCCCCCCAAAATGGACCCAGCTGAGGGGTCCTGTTCTCTGCACCTGCAAACTCTGTTTTAGACCATGTTCCTGTCATCTAATAAACCTTCTGTTTTACTGGCTGGCTGAGAGTCACGTCTGATTGCGGAGTTGGAGGGCAGGACCCTCTGGCCCCCGCAGGACCCTCTGGCCCCCGCAGGACCCCGCCTGGGCGGACTCGCTGTGGGAAGCGCACAGAGGGGCAGAGGAGGCTGAATGCTCCGAGATCAGACCCAGGAAGGTGGAAGCTGTGTGAGCTGTGGGTCCTGCAGACAGGCTGCTCACAGAAAAGAGACTTCCCCAGAATCCTGCCTGGCTTCGTAGGGAGCAGTTCCAGAGCATCGCCCGGGGACTCCGTGACACAGGGTCTCCTGGGAAATCCGAAGCTTGACCCAAGATTTAGCCTGGCTCTCCCGGCTGGTGCAGGGTCTGCTGGGAAAGCCGTCGCCGGGGAGAAGGGGTGGGAAGATCATTCCCTGGGAGGCAGCGTCTGTGGACACCGAAAGCCAGTGGGTCCCGGTGGGTGTGCATATCTCAATCCCCTGTGCACGTT